ACCATGCTCTCCATATATGGTCGGTGTACCCGTCAGTTTAAAATTGGAAGCTAGCTGAGATTTTTTTTTCGTGAAGGATAGAACGGCGCCCGAAGCAAATTGTTTTAACTCATTTCTTAGAATGACAAAGACAAAAACAAACAAAAAAGTCTCAAGAGCTTGTTTGAAAGTTTGTCGAAAAACACGTGAAAACACATGGAACTAAAGTACCTTGACCAGCTACGAAAGAAAACAAGTGTTGTTTCTCTCACTCGCCGATAGATAACTGCGGCTTGTTTATCCGACATCAAGAATATAAATCACAAGTAACCAGCTACAAATACAGGCTATGCAGCCATTCACTACAGCAGTCGAGGCGGCAGTATAGCTTCTTTTCTCGTTCAGCAAAACCAGCTTGTGGCTTCAAACAACTTCATAACAAGCGACCGAGGTAATAGTGTTTCTCTGTGGCTCTTACTTTTATAACTGCACCGAAAATCCAAATTCACTGTAATTTCGACGGCTGTCACTTAAAAATTCTTTACCTTCACATTTTCTGTCAGCTTTTTTTAGCTGTTCTGCTGTGTAAAATTCATCGCTACAATGTTTTGATTTTTCATTCATGCAGTCCAGGCGAGTCCGTTCGCGCGTTGACAGTTTTGATAGACGTGTGACATGTGAATAGCGGAAGTCCCTCTGTCTTTTCCGGTTTGTTCTAGTCGGGGAGATTCAACGAGATTTTGTGGGCGTTTTTAATAAAACAATTATTCCACTCGCGCTTGTTGGATATGAGATGATTATAGCCAACTCGGCGCTACGCGCCTCGTTGGCTATCTATCATCTCATATCCAACGCGCCCTCGCGGAATAATTGTTAACTATTCACTGATTCACCTCCAGTTCCTCCGAGCGCGCGACGCCAAACTCGCGTAGGTTGCGAGCAAAATGCTTTCCCGGTTTGCTGCCGTAACAAACAAAGAAATTTCACAACTAATCAAGCAAGCTATTTCCTAAATACATGAAGAAGGTGGCAAAGTTCGGTTGGGAAGTTTTAACAGGTAAAGCTTTGTCTTTTTGACTTGAATAGTTATCGATAAAACGGGAGAAAAAGTTTCTTGTTGAAAAATGCAAATTAAGCTCAAGTCTTGCGTTACTTTATTTAGTTGACTTGTTCATAAATAAGCTTAAAACTAAATTTAATAAACTTTTTTACAGAATTATTTTAAATACAAACAGAATTCACAACTCCTTTTGAAGAAACTTCCCCGCAAGAGCTAAAAAAACGCCTTCAAAAGTTTTATTTGTCGCTAAGAAAAAGCGACGACCGCGGCTGTTCGGTCATCGCGCGCCAAAATTGTAATCGTTGGCAACAGTAAGTGAGTTAAAAATCATCATTTTGTGCTCAGTTATCTCACTGTTTTAGTATATACTAAAACGATTATTCACCTCAGTGTCGGTGGCTAGTAGTGGTGGTCGGTGGCTGGTAGTAGTAGTAGTTGGTGGCTAGCTTCGCGGCCTCGTATATATGCAATACTAGCCACCTCCACTTCGGTGAATAATTGTTATATGTTATATTTGTTATATGTTATATTTTTGCAGTAGTTTGGCTGAGCAATTAAATTCCCAAAAAGTGCAATTCACTTCAATCAAAGTGTAAAAATGAAACATCTCATCTTTCCAAGGGTGAAAACCGCATACTGTCTCTCACCAATGAGAGAGCAAAAAGACCAGACATTCCTGTCCGCCATGCAGAATTTCCTTGAGTAGCCTGGCCTTTTGTTTCTTCCGTATGCAGTCTTGTTTGCTCCATCAGGAAGTGTCTCAAAAATATTTATGAAGTGTTTTGAAGTGTCAGCGGGTGCATTTATAATATTATAATGCTTTAACTCAAATTAATTCTGCCCTTCAGAACTTAACTTACTTGTACTTGGCTTTTCCTTCTGACAAGAATCACTTACACACTTTTTAAAAATAATTTCAGAAAATCTCTCAGAAAAGTAAGTAACAGGTATTTTATAGGGTTACCTTGCACTGCTTTGAAGAGAATGGGAATGCAAAGTTTTTTAGAAAAGGCCGCTTTCTTCTCGTTTTTGAGTCTTTTCCGGACAAGAACAAAAAGGCCATGGCCCCTCCCCCCCAAGGGCACAATGTGCCTCCCCCCGCGCATATTTGAGTGGGGTCCATAGCTAAAACTAGTACTAGTAACAACTAGCAACTAGTACTATCACTGCGCCGAGTTTGATGCTTTCACACCGAAGTGCACAATTCAGCTATTTTTTTACACCATATGGCTGGACCATACCTTTTACCACATAATTTATTTTCTTGTCGTGACGTATACGTAGCAGACTAGTCTTAAGACTAATGGTTGGCTCGTTGCGTCGTTTTCAGGGAGTGAAAAATGTTTTACTTAACGTATTTATTATCTGATTCATATGAATGTTATTCAGAACGATGTTTCATTGGCAGATTGCTCTGAGATGATAGAAAAAGTCCCGGCCTCGCTATCGATCAAGAAGGCGCGCTCCGAACAAATGTAAGAACTATAGGTCCAGAGTAGATTCACTCAGCAAGCCGAAGTAAATATATGCGAGAAATATCATATGTTGCGCAGCGGGACGGTCTTGTTAAACATCTCGTATGCCTTGGAAACTACCAGCCGGGAGGCCAGCCTTTTGTTCACATTTTAATGCTCTCATCCCATAACCCCTTAGATAAAAGCAAGTAACTAGACCAGAATTATTCTGGGGAAAAGGGGTAAGGGATGAAGTACTCCCAATATGGACAGCAGGTCACTTTTCTCTACATATTGGTGTAACAGTCCGAAATCTACAATGGGAGAAGTGATAATCCTCTCTAGGGAGTGATAATCCCCCAGGATAGTGAGAGGTGATAATCCTCTCTTGGGGGTGATAATCCCCCAGAATAGTGAGAAGCTAGGTGATAATCCTCTTTAGGGGTTGAAAATCCCCCAAGGTTGTGAGTGGAGGTGATAATCCCCCTTGGGTACTGGAGAGGTGGAAAGACCTCTGTAGATGTCTAATTTCCCGGTTTAAGGAGTAACAAGAGTCTATGGGGCAAAGTGTGACCTGTATGGGAGCACTTCATCCCCACAAATACCCCCATAGACGAACAACAGGAATGGTAGGGCTATTTCTAAAGTCAAATGTCACTTGAAACAATGGTCACATGGTACTTGAACATTGCGTGTAAGATTAGACTGGGCAAATGTCCCATCTAGTAGGTATCAGCTGAGGACTTAACCAGGAACAGCAACAAGTTGGTCAGAGGCCAAAGACTTCCTCCACAGCAGATGAGGAGATATGCAATAACAAAGAACAAAACAAAGGATCAGTCTGTAAATTAAGCACAATTAATTGACTAATTACACAAACTGGATGCAACTGGTGTATCTATCAAGTCAGGGCCAGATACTGAGATGTGAGAACCCAATATATATTGACAAAATTTTAAACAATTCCTTATCGATAAATCAGAATACACATGCTCATGGTTGTTGTTTGTAACCTACTAAAAATAACTGTATTATTTATGGCTTCAACCCAATTATTAAAACAATGACAACAGTACATTCCCAGGTCCCCTGGAAACAACCACAACAAGAAAGGTTAGCTCCGAAAGAGAGGACTCACCCAATGAGAACATTATCACGCAACAACAACACAACAACCAGGCTAAAGAGAGGTCCTAATCCTCTCTCTGGGGTCCTGATTCCCAGGCCCTGGGAGGTGGTAATCCTCTCCCTCCTTTCCATGAGTCCATCAAGTCCCCAGGCTACAGAGAGGTCCTAATCCTCTCTCTGGGATCTTAATTCTTCCCAGGCCCCCTGGTGACAACCACAACAAGCCATCAAGTCCCGAGGCTACAGAGAGGTCCTAATCCTCTCTCTGGGATTCTAATTCCCGGGAACCCTGGGGACAACCACAACAAGCCATCAAGTCCCGAGGCTGCAGAGAGGTCCTAATCCTCTCTCTGGGATCCTAATTCCCAGGCCCCCTGGTGACAACCACAACAAGCCATCAAGTCCCCAGGCTACAGAGAGGTCCTAATCCTCTCTCTGGGATCCT